TGCCAGTGGAGGGGAGAGCTCGTCCAGGGCAGGCCAGGTGGACGCTCCATGGCTGGACTCCAGCCCAAGTGTTGGCGCTGGCAGGTGGGGAGATGGCGCCTCCCTGCCCTGTGGGAGACCAAGCCAGTCCTCGGCCCCTTCTCGTCGGGTGACTGCACCCCGCTCCTCTCCCCACCAGACCTTTCCCCCAAGATACAGACATCTGTGCCCAGCAAGCCTGTGCTTTCTCCTTCTCACTGGCTGCTGTCCAGTGACCAGCTGTCTCACCAAATTCACTGCTGAATAAACTGCGATATGATACTGATATCCACACTAAGTTCCAGAATTTAAAGATCTTTGGAGACAAACCCAGAAATCCCTACCCCGTCCTTTCTCCAGGGGATTTGTGTGGCCAGACCTTTCCTAGCAGCTGACTTGTGATCTTTGTCACCCCAGCCGCTCATGTCCACACACTGGTGCTCAGCAGCCAGGGTGCCAGGCCTGGGAGCGGGTCATGACCCTGACAAACAAGGTCAGGGTGCACCCCCGAGGGATACAGGAAGCAGCAGGTGGCCTCTGCGGGTTGGGTCGGCCTGCAGAGCCCATTTCTAATGTCCGAGGTTGGGACGCAGGCCCACCTGCTGGGTCACACCACTCCCACAGCCTCTGAAGCTTCTCCTCCCCTCCCCCACTGCACCCCGTCCCCTGGGGGGTTTCTTGAGACCCTTGGAGTGGGAGTTTTAATGAGTTGGCAGGGACTGGGGACTAGGAAATTTCTGGATATAAAATCTTTGCAGATCTTTTTCTCCTGGAGTGAGGTTTGCCCTGGAATGTGGCTGACTTCTTGGTGTGTGGGGGCTGCCATAAGGCCAGCGTCACCTCCTCATATTCTGATAGAGCTTCTGATGGAGCTGAACCCTGAGGAGAAGGAACAAGTCATGAGGGGAGGAGGCACCTGGGCATTCTTGGCCCTGAGCAGGGCTGTGGGGACCCCCTGGACAAGTCTGGGTGGGCCTGGGTCAGCCCCTGGAGGGGCTCAGGGCCCCACAGACCTGGGGCCTTGTGCTGGGAGTGGGGGCCTGTGAGCTCCTCTCTGCAGAGACCACCTCTCTGAAGAAGAAGAGACTCAGGGCCACTGTGGGTTTGCAGGGAGCTGAGCAGAGCAGCAGGCAGTGGGGAGCCAGGTGGGTCCGCAGAGTCCCATCCCGGTGGCCCAGGGTCTCCTGGGGCCTCTGTCCTGACTTTAACTGAGCACATGTCCATTTTCTCTTTCCACATGGTGGCTGCAGGGCAAGAGGGCAGCTTTTTTGCTGGGTGTGTGAGAAGCTCTTTCTTTCTCAGTTAGAACTGGGCAGAGCAGGTGGAAACCATTTTAAGCAAACGTCCTTAGGAATTGTTCTCAGCTTTTAGTACAAATGTCAGAAACGTTGGGCAGGGGTGCAGAGTAGACCCTCCAATGCAGGGTGAGCGGCTCTGCAAGCTCCCGATGGTAAAGGAAAATCTGGGGGTGGAATCATGTGGGCTGTGTCGGCCGTCGTGGGGGCCGTCTCTCTTTCAGTGTCGGCTTTTGCCCTTCTGGCTCGCACTGACTGTGGCCAGGAGCAGCCTCCAAGTACTGGAGTGAGGCCCAGCGCTGCAGTCCCCACGTAGGACCCCAAATCCTGTGATGCAACCTATAGGACCCCTCCCTCCAAGTCCCTGTGAGCACCTTACCTGGAGTGGATGTTCAGATGGAAGTTGCTGCAGACACGTCTCCTTGTCCCTGACCATCCGCCCATCCTTCTTTGTTGCCAATGAATCCAGGTATTGACCCAGCCTGTCCATCCATCCCGCCCCCACACGGCTCAGGTTCAGGGGAGGACAAGTTTGGCCCCATGGCCTTCCACTCGCTGGGCATTGGGCTTCTCCTGCCTCGAGGGGAAGTCTCTCCTGGCTTCAGTGAGAGCCATCCTGCTGGGCAGAGGTCACTGGGCAGAGGTCAGCTCAGCTCCGTCTCCCAAAGGACCCCCCGCCCAGTCTCTTCAACCTTCTCTCTTCCAGCCCCATATCTCCATGGGTATCAGCCTTGCAGTGTTCAACCTCAGCACACAAGTTTTCACCTGCCAGACCAGAGTTTTTCTTGAATGGAAGTTTCTAGAAGGGAGAGGACATTTCTGTTTGTTTGCTACTGTGACCCCAGTGCACAGCCTGGCATCTAGTACCTAAGAGGTGCAAGAGACGTTTCTGTTGAATGAATGAATGAATGAATGAAAGAATGGATGAGTGAGTGAACAGCAGACTCAAATACTGCATATGCAGTGGGACACACAAGCAAGCCTGGATCTTAGAACTGAGATCTCTGCTGGAGAAGGCGGGATGAACACGCGTTTAACGGAATAAAGGCCAGGATGAGCAAGAGGTGAAGTCAGGGAGAGGAGACCGTGACTCCATCCAGGTCTTGGGGGAAGTTTGGGAAAATCACTGGGGACCTGGAGACAGAGCCCACAGTGGGCAAGGGGAGATGAGCTGTGTATCGACTGAGGGTTGCTCTCCTCAACCCGAACCCGTGGGCCTGTCTGTTTGGCTGTCCTTTCTCTTCCCAGGTTCCCTCTGAGATGGCTGGTTTTCCCTGTGGGGCTGATGTGCTCTCCGCCTCTGGTCACCCCTTTGTGCCTGTGCCCCCAGACGTACATCTTCCTCTTTCTGCTCCCCTTGGGGATCACTTTCATGTTGGGTCTTCCCTTTTCCATATCCCATCCTAGTTCCCAAATGGAAACCACCCAGAAGCGTCCTCAAGTTTAGGTTCTGCTTTGCACTTGCCCACTGGCCATAGCTCCTTGCCCTTCAGACTTCCATTCAGACGCCCAGAACAGTATTCATGAACGCTCCCTGCTGGATTGTCCTTTATTTCTCTCTTCCCCTCTCACCTAACATCACCCTCCAGCCAACAGGAACCTCCAGGTGTCAGCTCGTGCGTTTTCTTACACAGTCCTGTGAATGTCACTTCCACACATTTCCAGGATCATCCACAGTCCCCATTCTTCACTACTGCACTTCTAGCCCAGACTCTGAGACTTTTCTCCCAGGTGGAGTCAGCCAGGCAGGGGGTCCCCTGCCCTCCCACCTCGTCTCGTCTGCTCCTGCTTTGGTACCAAAAACCAATGCAGACACTCCATCCATTGAATCCTCAAAGTGGCTTAAGCTTCTCAGTATGGTTCTCAGGGCTGCCTTATTCATTTTTAGGAGTTGGCACCACTGCTGTGTCACACTTGGACTATTGAAACAGCACCTTTGCCCACCGGCTCTGCTCCGTCTCCTCGTGGTCATCCGCCCTCCTCCTGCCTCTCCTTGTCTAGAAGAAAGAGCCACCCCAGGATGGGAATCCAGGCAAGATTACCATACCCACTGACAGTGAAGATGGGCACAACCCACGACGCAGCAATCCTACTTGGAGGCACGGGCCTGGGATAAGGTCTTGTGTTTGGGCAGAAGGAGACATCTCAAGGAGATGTTGTTTATTAAAGGAAAAGTAACTAGAGATAAATGAAACACCCTTCTATATCAAATGGGTTTTCTACAGCACTACATAATCACATCTATGTAATGAAGTATTACATTAGCTAAAGTCAACTAACAAGACCTGAATGTATTCCACTAGTCATTAGGGTAAATTAACTAGACCAACACGTGCTATACTAGTCGTTAGGTGAATTAACTAGACCTACATGTACTACACTGGTATCCAAGCCCCTTGATGGCAGGTGTTTTCTTGTGTGCTCTATTCACTTCTGTATTTTTCAGGGGCTGGAAGACTACGGCACACAGTAGGAACTTGCATCAGTCAGCTTTCGCTGCGTGACCTACTGCACCAAAACTTAGTTGCTTAAGACAACACCTGTTTATTTGCTCAGGGTCCTGTGATTGATGACTCGGGCTGGGCTTAGTCGGGCTTACTCCTGCACACCTGATGAGCCCTTAATTATTGTTTAGTTCTGCTTCTTGGGATCAGCTGGCTGTTGGCTGGACCGCGTGTCCCTCACCGTCTGGCTGGCTAGTCCAGTCTTGTGCAGGTGATGGCGTAATTCCAAGAACAGCCAAGGAACAAGCCATAACACACACCGAATTTGCTAAAATCTGATTGCCCAGTGCAAGCCATGTGGCCACTCCAGGCTCGAGGACTGTAGAAAAGGACTCCCCCCATTGATGGGGGGGAGATCCTGTGGCCATTTTGCCTTCTAACACATTGCTAAATAAGTATTTCTTGAATGAATGACTAAATTAGCATTAAGAAGATCATGCAAAATCATTATATTGAGTGGAAAAAAATCAAAGTCATATAAAGTTTAGCACCAATAACAGTACACTTTATTGCTGTATACAATGAAATATAATTGAAAGCATCCAAGTGATGGCTCCAATTACCTTCAGGATTGTGGTCAACTCTGGGGAAGCAGAGAGGAGAATGGGGTTGCAGAGACGACAGGAGACCTGATGGTATTTGGATTTTTTTTTTCTTTTAAGAGCTAAAAAACAAATGTCAAATGCTAACATTTATAAAAGCATGGTGCTGGCTACAAACACACATTAAAAAAAGGCTGATTGAGACCACACACACACACTGAATATCCAAACATCTTTCTTTTTCTTGAAATTCTTCAGTGTCCCCATCAGGTAGAGAATAAAATTTGAGCTTTTAAACAGGTGACAAGGCCCTCTGTGATCTAACACCTACTTCCACCTCTCGCCACTCACACAGTGGTCAGCTTGCATTTCCTCCCATGCACAGTGTTTTCTGAGCGTCCTGAGGTTGCTGCACACGGTGCTCTCTTTCTAGAATAACCTGCTGCTTCACTGGGCTGCACTCTCTCATCCTCCCAGACACTCGAGCATCACCCCACTGGGGGGGGCTGCCAGCTGAATGTTTGTGTCCCCCAAATCTGTATGTTGACACCTCATCTCTATTGTGACCTGATTAGGAGGTGGGGCCTCTGGGAGGCGATTAGGTCATGAGGGTGGAGCCCTCACAATGGGATTAGTGCTCTTATAAGGGAGACCCCAGGGAGCTCCCTCACCTGTTCCACCGCATGAGGACACAGTGAGAGGACACCGGATATGAACAGGAGATGGGTCCTCACCTGACACTGGATCTGCGGGCACCTTGATCTTGCACTTCCAGCCTCCAGAATAGTGAGAAATGTTTCCGTTGTTGATAAACCACCCAGTCTGTGGCATTCTGTTACAGCAGCCGGAACAGACCAAGACAAGGAGCGCTCTGTGACTCCCCACACTCACCCTGGCCGAGCCGAGGCCCCTTCTCTGGGCCTTAGTGTTGCCTTGGGTGCGGCACTGGAACGTTGCTCTTCAGGACTCACTGATGCATCTGTTTTTCCTCCTGCCTCTCCCCATGATGGCAGCTCTGTGACCTCTGGCTTCTATGTCTCCAGGCGCAGCACGGTGTGGCATCCCTCTGGCACCCACTATGAGGTCATGGAGCAAAGGTGGACTGAGCGTTGTCTGAGACCATCTGCATGAGCCACATTCTGAATACCGATTAATGAAAGTCTAATAATTTCACGTAAGAAGACTGTGATAATTTAAAAATAGTAACTTAAAAGCCAGATTTTTTTTGTCAAAGCCGTAATCTTTGACAGTGGCTGTGCTGCCTGCGTGTGGATCCAAGCATCTTGGAGACAAGGTGAGGTGACTAGAGGAAAGTGACAGTTTCGTTCCTTGCTGCGCAGGTCGCTCAGTTACAAATATAACCCAAAATGTCAAATAGGATCTCAGAGTAAACCTGCTGGGCTTAGACCTGGGGAAAAAAAATCACAATTTGTAATAGTCAGCACCCCCTGGTTTACGGGGATTTCCTGAGAGCAGATGCTAATCCAAAGGAGCTGGAATTTCTTAGAGGTATTGTTTCAATTCCTTTCCTCCGGCTGGAGCTCTCCTGTTGATTGTAAATAACCATATGCAATTGCTGATGTGACATCTCATTTCCCAAACGGAAACCAAAAGCCGCCTCCCGCAGTCTCTGCCTTGCAGGTGCCCCCGCCCAGGGAAACGGTTCCACACGGACATCTCCGCTGGCATTTCCACTCCCTCACTGCCTCCTGGGGGGCTGTCAGGGACTGCAGGGCCCGTGCTCACCCCATTCTGCTCCAGTCAAATGCTCACACTTGCTGAAACATCCCACACCCCAGAGTCAAAGTTCTCAATAACATTTTGCAAAGAACTGAACGCGTTTTTATGAACGTATGGAGAAATATGATGTGGGTTTAATATTGCATTATGAGGTGAAGGATTTTAAAATATGCTTTATGTATGAATATATAAAATGGGCATATGTTGCAGTAAAGTTTCACTGTTGTACATAAAGAATATTATAATAAAAGTTGTAAAGTTAGCCCTTAGTGGAGGATTGAAGGAAGGAAACGCTTATAGCCAGAGGGGCTGAATTCTCCCAGTGCATTCTTCTTTATGCCATATAAGGCCACTTGCTCTTGCTAAGATCTTTACTTACGAGCCGAGGAGGGCTGAGGAGTAATGGGTGAGCCAGTCGAGTGAGGAATAAAACTGCTCTGAGCCAGATGCCCCGCCCCGGGCAGCCCAATCCAATGGCAACTGCAACTTTGCCCCCAAAATACACTTAGATCAGAATCGTAAAACTGCACTGTACAATGCCCCTGGAATGCTTCCAAGGGGGGAAAACCGAGGGAAGTCAAAGCATGGACACGATGTTCTTCCCAGGTAGATTAGTTCAAGAATGGATGTTGGAGTCACTCACATCACCCTTGACACCGACTCTGTACATTGAGTATGGAACTCCCAGGACAGGCTGTCAGTGCCTCAGGGCAGGGACTTCCCACAGGCGTCCTCCCACCCCAGCCCCACTCACGCCCACACACCACCTAGTCTTATGTTTGGCACAGTAGGCAGTTGAATAATTAGTTAAATGAATTCCTGAATTTACTTTTTCAAAAGCTCAGTGAACTAAACAGAAGACTTTTTGTGCCCTGTGGTCCTAGGCTGGGCAGACAGGGGAGGGCAGTCCATGAGGGTCATCGCACTGGAGAAATGCCTTAGCAGAGACAGAACTTGACCTGGCACTGGGCTGGAGGTTGGTCTAGGTGCAGACGGGAGAACCTAGTGGAGCCAAAGGATACAGGGAAAGCTGGGAGGAAGAAACAAGCACGCTGAGATGCAGGATTAGGAAGAAGTTGGGCTGATTGAGTGAGTGGGTAATGTGTTACATACTCAGAAGACAGAGACTGGGCATTACAAAGTATTGTCTCTTAACGCTAAGAGGTGGGGAGGGGGGAAGGTAATTCTGATACGCAATGAAGAACCATTAAAAGTTTTTGAGTGGTGGCTTCTGCTTCTATGAAAGATGGAGCAGGAGGGATAAACTATACCCTCCACATAAAACAGCATAAAACATAAAAATGGACAAAATATACGAAACAGCGAGTTTTATGACACTCTTCATAAGATAACTAAAGACAGTGATTACTGAGAGATGGGAAACAAGCCGGGTGAACCCAACGACTGCTCCACTCATCGCCTTGAGAGGGACCCCAGTGGGCGCCCTGAGTTGAGGAGATGGAGCTGAGGGTTTAGGGAAATCAAGGCAGGCAGAGTTCATAGGCTAGAGTATGGTAGGGGAGACCCTCAGAGAGAAAAACTACCTTGATCTGCAGAGCACTCCTCAAGTACTCAGCTGAGTACTAATTAGCACCTGCACATGAACCAAGTGCCTGTGGCCAGGAAGAGGACCACTTGGCAGGATAATAGGCCTGATGCTCACCAAGGGTGTGAACAGGGCCTGTTGCCACCAGTCAGACCAAAAAAAAAAAAAATCCAAGACTCAGGGGCACTGGGAAGAGAATTCAGAGGGGTCTGCCCTGGCAGTGGAAGCAGCCCACAGCCTGGGCACTGCTTTGACTCTGCTTAAGAAATCCTAGAAGCGAGACCCAAAAGGAGGAGCCTGTTTACAAGTAACTTAACTTCAGCCCAGAAGAGAGCTTAGTAACGCTTTCAGGAATACGAAGATGTTCATTACCCAACAAGGAAAATGCACAATGTTGGGGATTCAAAAAAAATTACCAGGCATGTAGGAAAATATGATTCATAATGAGAAAAACAAAGTAATTGAAATTATCCCCAAAAGACAAAAACATTAGAATTAGTAGGAAAGGAAACTAAAAGGTCATTTTGTGATGAGAAAGGATCAATGCATCAAGAGAACCCAACACTCAAACATTTATGCACCTGACAATAAAACCGAGCTTTGAAATTCATAGAGCAAAGATTGACAGAACTGAAAAGGGTTCTATCAATACAGAAATATCCACAATTCTAATCAGAGATTCAAATATGCCTTTTTCAACAATTTATGGAAGAAGTAGACAGAAAGGCAGTAAAGATATGCAAAATTTAAACAACATAATCAACTAATTTGACCTAATTGACATTTATGGACCATTCCACCAATTAATAGCAAAACACACATTCTTTTCCCGTTTGCATGGAATATTTGCCAAGACGGATGATATTCTGGTTTATAAAACAAGTCTCAATAAATTTGAAAGGATTCAATCATGCAAAGTATGTATTCTTACCACAGTGGAATTAAATTAGAAATCAATAACAGATATACCTTTAGAAAATCTCCAAATATTTGGAAACTAACAATTTCTAAATAACCTATGGGCCAAAGAATAAATCAAAAGGGAATTCAAGGAGTATTTTGAACTGAATGAAAATGAAAAAGAAATCAAAATGTGTGGGATGTCACCATAAGAGTGCTTAGGAGTAAATTTATAGCCCTAAATGCCTATACTGGGAAAAAAAGAAAGATCTCAAATCAATGACCTCCCCTTCTACCTTGAGAAATTAGAAAAATAAAGAGAAGGAAGAAAATAATAATCAGAATAGAGATAAAGGAAATAGAAGAAAACATAAAAATGATTGTGTGAGAATAACTGAAAAAAAGAGCTGGTTCTTTGAGAAGATCGATAAAATTGAGAAACCTCTAGCCATATTCATCAGCATAAAGAGAGAGAAGACATAAATTACCACTATCAAGAGTGAAAGAGAGATCACTGCAGACACCACAGATATGAAAGGGACTATAAGGCAATTTTATCAACAAGTTTATGCCAATAAATTAAACAACAAACTGATGAATTCACGACATACCAAAAATTGCTCAAGAAGAAGCAGATAATATGAACATCTTTATAGCTATTTTAAAAATTGAATCTAAGTTAAAAAACTTCACCATAAAGGAAACCCCAGGCCCAAATGACTTCCACAGTGAATTCTCCCAAACATTTAGGGAAGAGATAATGTCCATTCTATACAAATTCCTCCAAAAAATTAAAAAGGAGGGGATACTTCCCAAGTAATCCCATGAGGCCAGTGTCTCCCTGATGCAAAAAACAAAGGTGGATTAGTAAAAGAAAACTACAGACCAATGTCCCTCACAAACGAAGAGGCAAACATTCTAAAAACAAATTAGGCAAATTAATTTCAACAATATATAAAAAAGATACTATATTCTGACTAGTGGAATTTAGGCCAAGAATTCTAGGATTTTTTTTTTCACATCTGAAAATCAGTCATTATAATTCACCATGTTACCAAACTAAACAAACAAACATACGATCATCTCAATAAAAGTAGAAAAACCGTATGACAAAAGCCAATACCACTTCCCGGTAAAACGCCTCAGCAAAGCAGCCGTAGAAAGGAGCATCTTCAGCCTGACGAACCTGTAGCCAAGAAAACCTACAGCTAACCTCGTACTTAAGGGTGAAAGACCTAATGCTTCTCCCCTAGAGTAGGACAACAGAAGGATGCCTGGTCTCCCCACTTCTGTTCAGCTTCATACCCGAGATGCTAGACAGTGTAATAAAGCAAGAAAAAGAAGAAGAAGGCATTACATTTGGAAAGAAAGCAGCAAACTGTCTTTATTCACAGACAACATAGCAATCTATGTAGGGAATCTGACAGAAACTTCCAAAAAGCTACTGGAACTAATGACTGAACTACTAAGTGAATTTTAAAAGGTTACACGATATTAGATCAAAATACACACACTGATGGGGAAGATGTGGAGAAGCTTCTGGTGGGAATGTAAAAAGCTACCACCGCCATGGAAAAGTGTTTGGCCATTACTTAAAAGTGAGATGGACAGCAGCTGCACCATCCACTCTTGGGTATTTAGCTAAGAAGCAGCATCACACATCCATAAAAAGACGTGAATGTGAAAGTTTGTGACGGCTTTACTTGTGATGGTCAAAACTGTAAATGTCCACCAGCAGGTGAATGGGTAAACACACTTTAGCACGTCCGAACAATGGCAGACTTTTCAGCAAAGGCATGAATGAACTATTGATGTGTGTAACAGCATGGATGGATCCCAAGGTAATGATGCAGAGTGAAGGCATGTAGTCAAGAGAGTATATGCTTATGATTCCATTTCTACAACATTCCAGTAAATTCAAAGTAATGTCAGGGATATAAAGAAGCTGGAGGAAGGGATGAAAAAAGTAGATGAGAAGGGAGGGGAGCAGAAAGAGCTGGGAGGAAAGAAGTCCGAAGATCCAGGAGAAAACCTGGGGTGATTCGTGCATTCACTCTCGTGAGTACAGTGCTGGTTTCAGAGGTTCACACTTAGGTCGAAGCTTATCAAAGTGCACATTTTAAATACGTGCAGGGAGCAGTATGTCAATTTTACCTCCATAAAGATGGTTTAAAAATATAACAAAAAATGGGGTAGCGTGTTTAATTTTAAATTTCTGCCTTTAGAAACTGGCTTTGGCCACTATTAAGATTAAAATCAAGGTTTAAATTGTTAAATTGTGTTACTATATATAGATTTTTAATTTGGAGAGAATGAATTGTCCAGATAATTAAACTACCAGTACTAATTTCATCGTGACTAAGGCAACCACATACTTTCTCATCCAAACTAGATCACCTCTGGGAAGAGACGACAGGTGTCCCCTGGCAAGCCTGGACAGAGGGCCAGCCTCGTCGTGACCTCAAAACCCGCTCCCACCGGCCTCCACGGGACATCCAGGACTCGACTCGACACGGGTCGTCCGTCACTACCTGCATCCTGGTCCCCATACATCCCTGACTGGACTCACTCTCCCGTCCCACCCTCCCGAACCTTCTAAGTTCAGGGTCAGGGCAGGCATCTCCCCTTCTATCCTCAGATAGACAGCCTGTGCTTGCCCTAGGCTTGTGGAGTTCCCGGCAACTTACAGGCACTCAAAAATATGTGGCGAATAAATACACGGGTAAATGGTGACCTTACTGGTCATAAAGTTGAGTGTCTAAGCATTGTCTTACTTTTCAGCTAATTTTTACAGCGTAGGCATCTATGACACAGAAGCCCTGTCCCCATCGTCAAGTCCCAAAGTTTGCACACACTTTCATGCATAGAGGACGCAGATGCTGAATCTCGGGCTCCTGACAAAGTGCCGCCTCGTCTGCTGAGCGCTGAGTATTGACACAGTGGCTCCTCCCATGTGATGATCCAGCATTTCCTTCCCGAGGGTCTGACTGTGACCGAATCAACATGTCGACTTGCACCTTGTCTGGACTTTTCCCCTCGGTGTGTACAGGCTTTCAAAGAATGTTTTGCTGAGTCACAAATGGGAGCAAAGCTCTTGTGATACAGAAGGTTTTCACTTGGGTATTTACTGGTGACTCCCAGCTTAAAATTAGACAACTGGGGAATTCTCCGTGGAGCCTGTTGGGTTTCCATGGCAACCCTGGCCCTAGTAGGGTGGGCAAGGGACTGGATCCCACTGCGGTCCTGGTCTGAGGGGCCCTGGCCTGGAAAGGGATGCGAGGCCCCAGACATTACTGCTTTCTTCAGGCCTGGATAATTCAGACTCCTGCCCCGAGTCCTGTCCCCTAAGTGAGTTGAGGTTGCTTTGCATTAACCAGCTCTGGTCAGAGTGCACATTGGTGCGAAGCTGGGCTGCAGAGGCAACGGCCGTCTGCTTCCGCTGGGATTATAATCATCCTGAGCGACAGCATAGACAGCTTGTGTTGCGAACCTTCCATGATTCGGCGCTGGTTTGCTGTCTTTCAAACAACATCTAGGATCAGATATCGTGATTCCATCTTCCAGAGCCGTGAGCCAGGTCCTGGCACCTAGGCGTGCACCTCCAGGTTGGAACCCGTGTCTGCTCCACTCCTCATCGCGCTCTCCCGCACTGCTTCACTTTCCTCCAAGATAATTAGAGGAAAAAATAAATTGTATCATTTGAAAGGATTCAAATTCTACCTATTATTTCAGAAGTTAAATAAAAAACCTCCTCAGGGAATGAGAAAGGTTGAGAGCCATTAACGGAACAGTGGGGCTCAGATCCAGCTACGTATTTGACAGGCTGCAAAAGGCTTGGAAGCTGCGTGAACGTTTTGACAAGTCTGAGATGAACAGGAGAAATGGCTCTGGAAAGTGATTGGGTGGAGCGGGGGCGGGGTGGGGAGGGCGTCCTCCTTAGGAGACCCTCCTGGGGGAGAGGGTGGGGACCCTGGGGAGGTTCCTGTCTGGTGAGGGGGACCGGGCTTCATTTCATCTCAGCTGTAGCTTCTCTTTGCAGTCAGCCCAGCCCCAGAGGGGACTTCATTTAAGAAGTGAGGGACTCCCTGTGGACCTGTTGTAAATCTATTAATTGACTGACATCACAATGCCTGCAGGTGCACGGAGGAGCGCAGCTGAGAGGCACTTGAGTCGAGATGAGGTTCCTGCACAGTGCGGGCTGCTGCTGGGTGATGCTGGATCAACGGGAGCAAAGTGTCCCCTCGACCGGCCTGTCCTTCCCGGGAGAGCCAGGCCACGGCCCTGCTTCTGAAACAGGACCAGGAGCGACAGATTATTTATACAAAACGGCACACCTGGAGCCCACGCTTTGGTACCTTGGCTTTGCTGATTAATTTCAAAGTTTGAAATACTTGAATACCCTTTATGCCCAATTTGAGAGTTTTCTCTTTCTAGTTTTCTTTCTGACCGGATTGGCAAAGAGGCTCTCAGGTTTCTAAGATGTGGGTCCTTGGAATCCAAATATTCCTCTTCTAAATCCCGCCCCACCCCACCCAGTGCCGAGGTTGCACAGGAAACAAAGCTTTCTGCATGGTGGACGTGTTCACTGGTGAACTTACCACGTATGAAGTTAGGGGTGAGTGGACAGCACCCTCCCTGGGAGCCGCCAGGAACGTCCGATGCAGCGATGAAGCGGATCAGCACTTGTGAAATGGCAGATTACGAGATGGGAAGCTGGGCTCCACGAAGCTGAGGGAAGTGACGCCAGGCCTGGGCAGACGAGGTCCAGAAGACCTGGCAGAGAACGTCATCGAGCCCCATCGTGCATGGGACCCGGACAGGGGACAGGACGGCTCCAGCTAAAGGGTGGTTAGGAGCTTTTGCAAAAATGGGTCCCTTTGTGATGGTGTCCCAAACACCAAACGTGACATCAAGAGAATCTTTTTGCTGGCTTTCTCCCTTGCTGGCTTGGAACAAGCCAGTGACATTGTGAGAGGGCTCATGGACAGGGCCACGTGGCTGGAAATGTGTGTGGCTTCAAAGAGCTGAAAGTGACCTTCAGGACAGCCAGCAAGGAGCTGGGGTCTTAGTCCTAGAGCCAGTGGACTATTAGTCCTAGGAAGTGGACTATTCCAGTAACCTGAGGGAGCTTGGACCTGATCCTTCCCCCGTCAAGCCCCTTCCTGGGAACTGAACGAGGCCTGGACTCCAACCTGCAGAAACCAGGAGATCCTAAGTGTGTCATATTAAGCCACTAACTTTGTGGTATTTGTTACACAGCAAGAGAAAACTAATAGACACTCCAATAGCAGAGTTGAGTCCTTGTGATGGAGGCCACGTGGACCGCAAAGGCAACACTATAAAATACTTATGATCTGTACCTTTATAGAAAAAGTTTGCAAAAGGACACAGTGTGGGCACATCTCTAAGACCCACTTACTTAAGCACCTGACTCTGCGCCTCCTGACGTTGAACTCGGGTCGCGCTCCGGGGAAGGTGGAGGCGTCCCCGTGGGCACCCTGAGATCAGCTGTCTGAGCATTCTAACCCATGACAACCGTGGCTGCTTTCGGGGCAGGTTCCTGGTAAATCGGGGCAAACGTGTTTATTTCAGCTGCCACACTTCCTCGGGGTTGACTAACTGGCTCGCTGATTAGATTGGTGTTTCCATATATTACCATCGAGTCTGCAGACTCCCCAGATGAGGGCTGGTCCACCCGCCCCGCTGCACGTCGCTGGCTGTTTGTGTTGGAAGCTGAGCAGAGTAATTAGGACGGAGCCAATGGAGGCCCGAGTGCGGACAGCTGTTAGGTGACCAGCGAGATGTGAAGGGCAACTTCATAGTCGGCAACTCTGATTAGAACTGATAACTTTCATTCCCACAATGAGTGAAAATAGCTTTGTTTCGTGTCTCTGGCTGCCTGGCAGGAGCTGTGCTTCTCGGGATGCGCCATCATCCTGTGGGACTGGCCAAGTGTGACCGTGGAAGATTTCATATCTGCCAGGCCCCCCTGAGCCCGTGGCCCCTCGAGGCCGCCGTCCCGGCAAAGCCCTCTACAGGCTGCTCTGCGGTGACCCGTCCTGACACTCAGACTTTATCAATGGGGTGGTGTCTCTTAATTCTCTTTACTTCGATACACCTTATTTTCTCCCAAAATGTTCTTTCTTGGTTTAAGTGGAGAATGTAAATCTGTCAAGTGCTCATGGCCGGGGGTGGGGAGGCTGCTCCTGGCTTGTGTCACTCTACCCAGGATCCCAACCCTCGATCCTGCCCAGAGCAGTCGTGAGCCAGGACAGGCCCTGCCTTCCTCTAGCTGGCCACTCCCGGCCTCAGGACGGCCTTGGTGTTGTAGCAGGACGTGCGCCTGACTGATGACCCGGGGTCACAGCTGCCCTCCGCCTCTGCTTGACCAAACGTCAGCCAGCCTCCTGTCCTTCCCCTGGCCTGGGTTTGACTCGCCCCAAGTCTGAGCAGGACCGAAATGCAGAGCTCCCTCGTCACCCCCTCCAGAGAATCTGCGAGAGCTGCGGGATGCGTGGCCCGCCGGACCTCCCCACCACACTGTCGGCCTCTCACCTGGCCCACTGCCCCGTAAAGGCACCTGGCAAGCCCCGATTACCCTGCCTGGAAAGAAAAGCCTCTTTCCACTAGATTTTGGGACACCTGTGGATTCTGAGACGGCTGCTGTCTCCTTATTGCAGCTGTCTTTTTGCATAAAGTCTCTCCTCCTCTATGTCAGGATCTGTTTTTGTTTGACACGATCTGGGAGGAGAAGGTGGCATCTGAGGGGACAGCTGTGGTTTGGACCAGGTCCTGCTGGGAGGGCTGGGAGGGGCACGGAGGGCAGCAGCCTGGCCGTGCGGGCAGCTGGGTGCTGAGACATCCGGGTGTGAGCAGAGCAGGACGATCTAGGAGACAGGCCGGGGTGGTCAGCGGGCCCCTGACCTTGCAGGACCTCACGCACATCCAAGAACTGCCCTTCCTCCTGAGCCCCGTGGGATCTCTGAAGGGTTTCCCCAGCGCGTCTGTGTGTTGGAGGGAGACGTCCGGCCGTGTGAGGATAACATCCCGCCCACCTGTGAGCTTCAGGATCATCGACGTGGACTCAGCCTGTTTATTCTCCTATAAGACCTTCAGGATCCCTCTGTCACCCCCTGCCCAGTCCATTGGGAGTTTGTCTGGAAATGAGTGAAACCAATGCGCCAACATGGGAAGAACCAGCAGCTCTGACGCTTAGTGTGGTCTCTGCTTCGAAAGCACCTCGTCTTCTCCCAGTGATGGAGACTAACTGTAACGAATTGTGTCTGTTATTTACTTCCTGATTTATGTTTCGTGTCAAAGAATTGTATGCACGCAGGTAATAAAATAAATTTCGGGAGAGGCTCATAACAAAACAGCAGCCTCCCCACCCCCACGGTTCCCAGCCCGAGCCCACTCTCAGGAAGGACCCCCGGGGATGCCCCCACATGGCCGCGTCCACAGTTCCAGGGGAGCTGCCCCAGCGGTGGCTGCCCCCTCGCCTCCCCACCCCACCCGTCCTGACGCGCCAGCCTCGCTCGCCGCAGACCCCAGCAGGATTGTGCAGCTGCGGCAATTCTCATGGAGCTTCATTCTGCTTTTCTTTTCCTGGAGACAGTTTAGGACACAGAGCCCGGCTTTCCCTCATAGAACCCCGGCCCAGGGTGTTGGAGGCCCCGTGAGACCTCACGCCTCCAGGGCAGCCCGCGAGGTTGGAGCATGAGTGACGATGACATGGGGAAAGGAGCCCAC